GAACAGTGCACCTCTGGGATTGTAGTTGCAGCTCCTTACCGCTAGGCCACCAGAGCTCCCCTAAAATTAATTCTTTAAAATGAACAATGGAAATAGTATACAAAATGGGTGACCCCGGAGGACATTATGCTGAGTGAAATATCTCAGTCACAAAAGGAGAAATATTTCATAGTGCCACTGTTGTAAAAAGGGACTGCTATCAGGGCTGGGGGGAGACTGAGAAAAAGGGGATAAATTATGTATACTGCATTAAAACAGATGAGGGAAAGAACTGTTTAAAAGGGATATGTGATTACGTATTATTGTCATGACAGGAGTCCAGAACGAAGGCTGCATAGTGGAGTGGACTTGGGAGGAGGGATTGTAAAACAATGAAAGAATGTTTCTTTTACTTTTCAAAGAGAAGAGTGAATTGGTGGGGGAGGGGTGGGCAGGGAGAAAAGTGCAGCAATGAATGGAAATCCTAAGTCTCTGTAAACTTTTGTTAAAATTAATTAAAAAAGTATTTTAAAATGAGCAATGGAAAGATGGCAAGCTGGGCAGAGATGCTATCTAGATACGCCTCCTAAAACAGACAAACAAACAAAAAAAAACAAAAAACAAAACAACTCAGTACACTACACACACACACACACACACACCCAAACCCAAAACAGGGTAGAGTTTAATCAGAAGAATCTTTGTCTGGTCAGAGCTGATAAATATGCCTTTAACCCAACATTTCTGTACAGCTATTTACATATTCATCCTGTGAATTGGTCCGGGAGAGCTGGTTTATATTCTATTCATGGGGAAGTGGAATGATCTAGAAGGGATTTGACCATTCCTACACACCAGTATTTGAGACAAAAATGAGCAGACAGGTCTCTGAAGTCGGACCCACTGCCTTTGCGTCTGTTCCCATTCACAGACACCTTACAAGACAGAACAGAAAATTGCTCCACGGGGCTGCCAAGGTCATGAATCTCTACAGAAGCAAACGACATCAGTCTTTCCCTCACGGAGCAGCTGTTGGATTCAACCTGTTTGATTGATCTGTTGCTTCCTCCGCTGCCACCAACCGGAGCTGTTCTTCTGAGGTAGAAAAAAACGCTTTGTTGCTGAGTCGAGATGGACCAAGCCTCCTGTGGGTTTTTGAGGCTGTAAATAACACAGGAGATTGCCTGTCTGTCTCCCACAGAGCTACTGGCACGTTGAACCATTGGAGTGGGCAGTGCAATGTCTACAAACTAGATCACCAGAGTTTCCTCCCTGAAGGAGACCCCAAAGAGCTCTGCAGAGTGGCAGGAGTTCAGTCTCTAAGGTCCAGATAAAGAAACACATCAGACAGAATTTGGCCTTTTCTTCTGAAATGAGAGCTGTTGGATTTGAGCAAAGAAGGGACAGAATCTTCCTTTGTTGTAGATAGGGTGCCTCAGTCTGTGGATAGACTGTAAGGTAACAGAGATAATAGCGCCGAGGTCAGGTAGGAGGTTGTTGCAACAATCTGGATGAGAGGACAGTGGTTCGAGTCACTTGGGAGTGTTTGTCTTGGGCACGTGATGACCGTCAGCCCCCTTGCAAACACTGAAGAGACTCAAGTGTGGACAGGACAGTGGAAATCTGTCAAAGGAGGAAAAAGGAAAGGCATGTCTGGGGGTCTCTGCTTGTGCTAGGGGGATGCTGTTACGGGGAAGTTAGGGGTGAGCTAACTTGTTGTTGTTGCTGCTGTTGTTGTTGTTATATGCCGTCAAGTTGTTTGCGACTCATAGCGACCCTGTGTACAACAGCCCTAAACCCTGCTCTGTCCTGTGCCAATCTCACTGCCTCTGACACTCCCATCCCAATTATCCCAGTCACTGAATCAATCCATCTCATAGAGGGCCTTCCCCTTCTGCGCTGTCCCTCCACCCTCCCAAGCATGATGTCCTTCTCCAAGGACCTGTCCCTCCTTACAACATGTCCAAAGTATGTCAGACAAAGCTTCAGAATCCTTGCCTCCAAGGAGCAGCCTGGTTTAACCCTCTCTAGGATGAATCTGTTTGCTTTCCTAGCAGTCCATGGTACCCTCAATACTCTTCTCCAGCACCACAGCTCAAAGGCATCAATTCTCCTTCTATCCTCCCTAGTCATTGTCCAACTCTCTGATGCATAACAAGGGTTTGCAAAGACCATGGCCTGTATCAGACTTAACTAGAAGCAGGAATAACTTATGTGATCGACTTGGGAAGCATATTTACTGTCTCGGGTTGATTCTTGGTTGGAGGGAGAGTCAAAAACCGAGGGAAGCTGGCCGCCATTGTCCAGAGGCTGACTCTGAGGCAGTTGCTACAGAAGATGTTTGTGGTTTGGTTTCCCTATCTGATCCCAGCAGAGCTTGAGGGTCAGAGTTCTGCTGTCATCTATGGTCTGGCCTTGTCAGTTGGTCTACTCAATCTGTCAGGCTTTCTGACAGGTATTAAATGACAGAGAGAGAGAGAGAGAGAGAGAGAGAGAGAGAGAGTGTGTGTGTGTGTGTTAAGTTCCCAGAGAGTAAATCATAAATAGGAAAGTATTTGAATCAAATTGGGAGGGGGGTGTGTTTAGATTTCACTGTGGCCTGATTAAGAAGTTACCCAGTTAGTATAGTATAGTATAGTATAGTATAGTATAGTATAGTATAGTATAGTATGTTGTTATATCTAGATAGCTTCTCTGCCTAGCTTGCCATCTTTCCATTGCTCATTTTTAAATTTTTTTATTCATTTCAATGAAAGTTTATAGTTTCTTTCTTGTAAATAAATCAGTAGTTGTTGTTGTTAAGTGCCACTGAGTTGCAGGCGACTCATAGCGACCCCATGAACAAAAGTCCTCAACACTTGTGTGACTTTCATCCTTCCTCTAGGTTCATAGGCTTTCCAGAGGCAAGCTATTTTGGAAGCAGATGCCATTCCTTCTTCCAAGCTTGTTTTAATCGGGGAGCTCCACCAAACACTGCCATAGGTAAACCTTAACGCATTTGACACATCAGTGTCATAGAGTTCAGCTTCACAGCGACCACAAGTTACCTCTGTACGGCAAGTGGACACGCCAGGGCTATACGACCCAGAAGAATATTTGAACTAGGATAGGATAGGAAACACTACTAGGGTGAAGAGAATAAATAAAATTGGGAAAACTTACATTGTCTTTTCTGGTATGTCACTGAGTTGATTTTTGACTCATAAAGACCCCTATAGGGCAAGGTTCAAGTTCAAGTGTCCCATGAAGTATCCTTCTTCCCTTACCAGTGTCCTCTAAGCCTGGAGGCTTGCTTATCCCTCTCTAAATCCTGGTAGTTCATTTGTGAATTTTATGGGGGCCAACTCCAAAGTACTGAAGAGCAATGGTGTCACTCTGGAGACTAAGGTGTGTCTGATACAGGCCATGGTTTTTGCAATCACTTGTTATGCATCAGACAGTTGGACAATGACTAAGGAGGATAGAAGGAGAATTGATGCCTTTGAGCTGTGGTGCTGGAGAAGAGTATTGAATGTACCATGGACTGCTAAGAAAACAAACAGATTCAGCCTTGAGAGGGTTAAACCAGGCTGCTCCTTGGAGGCAAGGATTCTGAGGCTTCGTCTGACACACTTTGGACATATTGTAAGGAGGG